TATTTAATATTATTTAAAAAAAATAATGATATGTAATGTACTTTAATAATATTGTAAGTAAATTATTCCTGGCTGAAAAATACACAATTATTGGGGCATAAATTCTGCAAATATACAATTAGAATAATATTTAATATAAGGCTATGTCAACACTTCTATTATAAAATAACAAAGATCTTTAAAAATTAAAAAAAACATAGAATCGTATATCGAATACTACGAATAATAATGACTTTATTTTTTTACTTTCATATTATACAAATCGATTGCTAAGATTCGCTCATATTATATTAAGAGATATTTTTATGCAAAGAAGATCATTATCGATTATCTCCGTTAAATTAATTAAATCAAATCGACTGCGTTTTGTATGGCGTGAAAAATAATGCCATAACTTTGCTAATTGTTAATTAAACATTGTGTAAATTGATCTAGAATGCCTAAGCGGCTTAACACAGTCGGATTTACGTGCTCTATGCGATGCTTATATAACAGGAATATTTGTTGTAAGCGATTCACATATAAATGCATCACTTGCCTTTGTTATTATTGTTTTTATTATATCATTCACAACATTATTATAAAAATATTAAAAGTTTTGCATTTGTTGATCCCCTTTTTGTTTTCAGATTACTAAATATCTTTGTTGCATTCTGGCTTGCATGTGTCTACTGCAGATGGTAAATACTGAGGTTTCGAGAGATAAGGTAAAACAATTTTTTCAATTTGTGCCTCAGTGCATTTTATAAAAATATATTTCTCTTTCAACTATTATGAATACAGAAAAAAAATCTTTATTTTAAAAATTTTCTTTAAATTTAATAGAATATGACAGAAATATCGCGAGAATACAATCTTGTTTTATGTAAAATACATCTTGAACACATAAATCATTTTAATAGAATCTAGAAAATATTCTACATATTGAAGATTACTCGAATTTCACTTGTCTTGAAAAGATAAAAGCATTTCTAATACGAATGCAATTGACAAAATTCACTTTTGCAGTTCGAACGCCAACTTCTAGATGCCCTTATGATGAAGAACACAATCAAGCCAAAGAGACCGTTTTGCAATGCTTTTACGGGTAAGAAGTAATTTTAATTTTTTAGTAGTTAATAATAATTTAAAAATATTATAATTTTGCAGTATAATACAAATACTATAATATTAAATATTTTCTAACTAAAATTCCACTAAAAGTCTTTACCGGTTTTTTTTTTCTGTATAAGAATATCTATATAGAATGAATTATAAAACAGCATCGTGCTTTCAAACTTTAGTAAATAAAATTTTAGTAATCGGATACTTTTGATCTCTTATAGGATGTGGCAGATTTGTTTCGGAGGAAAAAAGAGAAGAGAAGAAAGAACCACGTATTTCTACGCTGCTTCATTTATTCAGAACGCTCCTGAATACCGCTAAACAAAACACTTGGAACGCGATTGATCGTGAGGAATACGATTATCAATTACAGCAAATGCCGCAAGTTTATATCTCGAATCGGATGCCCCTACGTAATAGGCAGGAAAGTTAATTTGACGGACATATCCTGACGCTTGAGTGCCGCCAATATTTCTCTAATAGACGAAATTATATCTATTTTTATTTCTAAGTGTATATTATAATATTCATTTGCAATATCAATGCCAAACATATTCGATAAATGTGAATATATTATCGAAATAATATCATTTGATTGTATATAACTAAAACTAAAAAGTTTTCTTTTCTCGAAAACACGGATGTAGTTATATCCTCTTGCAGGATGTAATTGTATTCTTTTGCATTTACTATACGACAGCTATGTCTTGATATGATTTGATATTTATATTGTACTTACTTTTGCTTATCGCTTTTGATTATAATTAAACAAATGTAAATGAGAAAATTATATAATTATGCGACTATATTTTATTTTATATACAACTTTCAGGGGAATTTTATCGCTACAAATCTATTGTACACGACGAAAACATATAAACATGTAATCAGTATAATATTGGTGCTAGCTAGAATAGAATTAGGAATATTTATTTACTATTAAATATTTCTTTATTTATAGGAGCTTTTAAGTGGTTATGCATTTATTTGCATGTACCTTATCTCTTCAAATGAGAGATCTTAATTAATTTGCTGTTAGTAAGCCAGATATTTCTTAAATAATTGTTGAATTGGATCTGGTTTGTATTCAATAAATTCTATAAAACCTGTTATCTAATTTATTAATATTTAAAATAATGATTTAATTAATTAATTCGCTCTTTCTTTCTAGCTTTTTTAAATAAATTATAATACACATTTTTTAAATAATAACAGAGCATATACTTGTTGTGTAACAAATATTACTTTTTGATAATTAAACAGCTTACCTTAAGTAATCTGCAGATAAACATTAAGTTTTATTAGCACACTTCCATTCCATATATATCTTGCATTTCTTAAATATTGTTGAGATATGATTGATAACGATTTTGATCGAATAACATGTCTGGAAATACTCAATCCAACGCATTCTGGATTATCTGTCTCTCCCGCGGGTCTACCCCAAAATTTGTCTGTGCAAAGTGTAGCCGGATCCCAAATTCGAGAATTTTATTTTATTTTATTTTAAAAACATAGTGCAAAAAATGTCACATCTAGATAAAATATCTTGAAAAATCAGTTCCCACAGAGAATTATCATTGACTTTATATACTTGTTTCTTTAATAATACTAAGAAAACTATACAAAAAATTATTTTTATATTATATATTCTTTGACGTTCCAAAGTTGATATGTCCTATTTATAATAAAATGCAAGTAGAGAGTACAAAAAAATACTCAATCCAACGCATTCTGGATTATCTGTCTCTCCCGCGGGTCTACCCCAAAATTTGTCTGTGCAAAGTGTAGCCGGATCCCAAATTCGAGATCGTCGATCTTCGGGCACGTTTTCCAAAGAATGATCCAAAACCTGCCGAGTCGCATTATATCGGTAATCGTATTTAATTAATTATATAATTTATTAATTATATTAATTATTTTATTT